TAAACCAGCAATGCAGATTTCCAGGCATAGTAGTATTTAGCAGACGGGGGGTGGGGTCCAGCAACACTAATGTAAACAAGCAACCAAGGTGAGTCTAAATGTCTTTGAGGCATAGACTCCAGACTGTATACTAGATTCCAAGATTCAAACAGAAAAACATCTAATTATCAGAGTTGATTTGAGCTAGAATAACAAAAATCAACTCTGATAATTAGATGTTTTTCTGTTTGAATCTTGGAATCTAGTATAACAAAAATATGTGCATAGTTGCCTATAATTTTCATGTTCCCTCTGAGGTCTGAAACAAACCCAAGAGCTCTGTGATTTGGATGTGCCCTGGTAATCATATTTGCTTGGAGTTGAAAGTTTTTATCCCTTCCTCCTGAAGATTTTTTTCCCCCTCTCTGAACGCATTTCTACTTGGGATTAAACCTAAAATGTCTTAACTCTCCCCCCACAGCTAAAGGAAACTAATTTTCGAAAGTGTTTCAAAATAGTACTTTAAAAACTACACAATACAAAATGTCTTCCCTTTGAAGCAGAAGGTAACGAGAGAAGTAAACACTGGATTTTCCAGCAGAACCAGCCCTGAAACCAAAACTTAGGAAGGAAGCTGACCATTAAGTAAGTGAACCAGAGTAACAATAGCTCAGGCATATCCTAGGGTAAGTCTGAACCTGAGAAAACGGGAATGAAATAGACAAACCAGCCCCTTGTCCCAAGTTCACTTTATTTTAAAAGAGGACAGTGCTGTAAATGAGCGTATAGAGTTTAGGTGGAATCTTAGAACTCTGCTGGGTGCACAAGAATTTTTCCCCCCACTCTGAGCGCATTTTTTTCAGACCTAAATACATATTCCTCACTGGATTCAGCAGTGCTCATTTCCACCCATCTTCTCCAAGACATTTTAAATCTAGAGATTCCAGAAACCAAGCGCAGAGCATGCTGAGAACTTGTCTGTGTGTTCTAACATCAGCTATGACAGACTCATGGTTATAGGCACGAGAGCTTGTCTATAGGTAGAGTTCTTAATGGTTACATGAACAAAGAAATTCTGTAGAACCTCATAGAACCTCAAAGAAGATCTATGTTAAGTATTAAAAGCAACGTATAATGCTCCAGAAATGCTATAAAATAAAAAATGCAAGCAACAATATTGATTTAAATTCCTTAGAAGGCAAAAAGTCAAGGTCACAGGTATAATGTGCAAATTCCAGTTGTAGGACTCCTCGAGTTAGGGACAGAGATGGAATGAATTTAACAGGGTTGGGAAACCAGAGAGTGGGACAAGAGAGAGAAAGTGAACCATCCACCAGGAGATGAACAGGCTCAACTGTTCAAAATTGACCTAAGGGTTTCTTTTTTCTTTAAAGATTCCCTAAATGGGAAAATTCAGTACAGGCTCTGCTGGATTATCACTTACTCTTGGTCTCTCCAGTGCAACTAAGATCTCATCACAACTGCACAGCTTCAACAGCCCAACTGCTTTCAGCTGGTTCCTAAATCATCTCCTCCAGCTGCTCCCAGTGACCATACAGCAGTTTAGAGCAGCCCCACACATGCTTGGCTGGAGTGTGTACCTGGAACTTTATCTGTTTTGGTGCAGGCCCTTTAGGTGCACAAAGGTTTGCAACTAAGACCTAAACCAGCTTTTCTGTTTAACAATGCCTCACTGGGTTGTATGGAACAGGCATCTCAGAGCATCTGAAATCACTTTTTAAAGCCCAGTTCTCATGATTTTAAACAAACATCATCAGGATTCTTTGACATGTTGGGGGGATTCTCCTTGCAAACTTGCATGTTCTCTTCTTTACTTTATTTCTGAGCATGGATAAATTGGGTTCTCAGACCCAATTTCACCGTGGGAGGCAGGATCCCCACACCAACAAACAATTCTCAAGTCACCAGCAAGATATCCAAGAATTCAACTCAATTCTAACACTGTTTACCTGCAGATAGCATCCAATTCCACAGGTTTAGTCCTACAAGATTGCCCACCCCAACTCACTCTCTCTCTCTCTCTTCCCCTCCCTCCCTCTCTCTCTCCCTTTCCCCAGAAGCCAGACGCAAGCCCAGGTTACCTGTGCTTTTGAACAACTGGGCAATGATTGGAGGTTTCACTGACCCCCTTTAACTCAGAATGCCAATCCCAAATCCAGGTTATCACCTCTATTTTTGATCCAGTGGCTATATATCAGAAGTTCCCGCAATACTCTCCTTGGGTTCTATTAATTTGCTAGAAAGGCTCACAGAACTCAGAGAACATGTTACTTACTGGTTTATTTTAAAAGGATATAACTCAGGAACAGCCGGATGAAAGAGATGCACAGGGCAAGGTATGTGGGAAGGGGCTCAGAGCTTCCATTCCCTCTTCAGGGCACCACTCTCCCAGCATCTCCACACGTTTACCAATCAGGAAGCTCTCTGAACCCCCTCCTCTTGGGATTATACGGAGTCTTCTTTACACTCAGGACACTGGCCACTGAAGACTGATTCAACCTCCAGCCTCTCTCCCTGCCTCAGAGGTGGTGGGTTTGGTGGGGGGGGGGGGGGTATGCAGAACTGAAAGTTCCATCCCTCTAATCACATGGTAGGTTCCATTGGCAACCAACCCATATCCTTAGGTGCTTTCCAAAAGTCACCTAATCAGCATAACAAATGACACCTTTTTTCACTGTCAGCACTTAGGAATTTTCAAGGGCTCTGGGAGCTGTGGATTAAGACCAAATATATATGTCAGAAATATATTTTGGTCATCTTAATGGCCAAATACATACATATATATGGGTTTTTTTGTTGTTGTTGTTAATCCTTACCCAAGAATATTTTTCCTTTTTTTTTTTTTTTTTTATCCTCACCCGAGGACATTCTTCCATTTTTTGTTCAAGTAGAGTGTGGGGGGGGGGGGGGGGGAGAGGAACAGAGAGAGAGAGAGAAACATCGATGTGAAAGGGACACATCGAGTGGCTGCCACCCACACAACCGACCAGGGCCGGGGACAAACTGCAACCGAGGTACATGCCCTTAGCGGGAACCGAACCCTGGTCTCTCAGGACCACAGGCCGACGCTCTAACCGCTGAGCCAAACTGGCCAGGGCTATTTTTCCTTTTTTTAGATAGAATGGAAAGGAGGCAGAGAGAGCGAAACATCAATGTAAGAGAGACACATCGATGAGTTGCCTCCTGCACGACCCCAACCACGGACAGGGATCAAACCTGAAACTCAGGTATATGTCCTTGACCAGGAATCAAACCCATGACCCTCTAGTCTGTGGGCTGATGCTCTAATCGCTGAACAAAACCAGCCAGGGCAAATATATACTTCTTATAAATCACAGTATTGCAATGCAATTCTGATATTGCATGGCAAGAAAAACATTTGACCAATAATAGAGCAACTTTTGACTGCCCAACTGCTTCTCACCAACGTGCAAATCACTCTTGTTTCTTCATATTTAGACCCGTGGAAATCTTTACAGTAACATAAACCCTCTCTCCAAAAGGTAATATCAAGTGCTAGGTATAAATATGAAAACAAACCATCATAATCTCCCTCAGCAAAGTATCAACTTATCCCCCAAAAGTGACTTAATGGCATGAACAAGCATAGGAAAGGGCCAAATTTACAACACATCAGTTCAGCAGAATGTAGAACTTAACAATTTAGGTTAACTGTTAGACTCTGTCTTTTCTTATGCTCCAGACTGCAATCAAGAACATTCATCAAGCCCTGGCCAGTTAGAGTGTTGGCCTGTGGAACAGAGTTCCAGGTTTGGTTCTTGCTAAGGGCATGTACCTTGGTTGCAGTTTGTCCCTGGCCCCTGTTGGGGTTGTGTGGGTGGCAACCAGTCGATGTCTCTCTCTCACATTGATGTTTTTCTCTCTCTTCCCCACTCTCTCCCTCCCACTCTATCTAAAGATAAATGCAAAAATGTCCTCGGGTGAGGATTAAAAAAAAAGAACATTCATCAGGCCCGGCCAGTGTGGTTCAGTGGTTGACCAACAACCCATGCACCAAGAGGTCACCAGTTCAATTCCCAGTCAGGGCATATGCCGAGGTTGTGGGCCAAATATCTAGTGTGGGGCATGTAGGAGGTGGCCGATTGATGTTCTCTCTCATTGATGTTTCTGTCTCTCTCTCCCTCTCCCTGCCTCTCTCTCTAAAATCAATGAAGAAAAAAAAATAAGAACACTCATCAAAATCAATGGAAGATCAGAACAAATGCACATACAGTACTTGATACAACAAAGGAAGGTAATAAGACCATTCTGAAAAGTCTCAAGCAACAGTCAACACACAAAAATTCAAAACCATTCCAAGAGTACAAATATTCCTAGCAGCACAATCAAGCCCCCACTGAATGCTTTGATGATCTCAGAGGGCAAGTGGGCATTTTCCAAAGATTATTCCTTTATTCTCTGTATTTCCTCAAATACTTTAATACATGTAACTTTAAAAATCAATGACATGGTAGATAAAAGGGAGCCTACTAGTCATATTTGACAGATGAAGAAATTAGGAACTGAGAGGTCACTGGTGTGTCCAGGACTGGTTATGTGGCTTGTGAAGAACAGAGTCACCTCTAAAATCCAGTTCTCTTTACTTCAAATCCAAGGTCTGTAATCCCACAACATATTCTTGTTCATCCTTGATCATCACAAGAACATGTAACTCCTAAAAATTCTGCTTGGTGACCTGGTATCATAGATGACATATTCCTGTTTGCCGTTGGTCATCGCAAGAGCAAAAACCCCCTGAAAACTCTGTATGGTGGCCTGGTTGCAGGGGACATTTCCCCAGCCCACTTTGCAAAGACCATCTGGCACTTGCTGTTCTTATCCACTGCAGTTAACATTTCACACATTTCTTTCTTAAGCTCCAGCATACCTGATGCAATAGCAGGAGAGACAAACATAAGCAGAACTGAGACCAGCGTTAGTGCTAAGATAAGAACTTTCTAGGGGTGAGAAGAGGGTAAGCAATCAGTCCTTAAACCTACTTTGCCAAGTGGTTCATGAGCAGCTGTAACATCTGCCTGTTTTTCTCTGGGAGCCGATGAACAAGGCTGTGGATTTCAGAGACCCGGGACTCCTGATTCTCCAGTTCTGCAAAAGTAGGAGAGAGGTAACCTTTGGTCAGTGTCAGAGCTAAATCCGTTTACAAGACAAAATCCAAGGAAAACAAAGACTGGGGATTTCTCAAAGGGTTAAGATCCTGTTCTGTGTACTCATGACTAGAATGACTAGATCTACAAGTGCTTTTAATGGTACTTTCTGTAACAGAGTTCATTAAAAAAAAAGGCATCAGAAAAATCAAGCCAAAATGATGACGTGATGAAATGGAGCCAGTCAACTGCATGTTCAGAGCAGGAACAAACTTGGGAGCAGCTGACTCTCTAGAGTGACTGCTTCATTTCAAGGAAATAAGGAACTTGATGCACTTGGCAAGTGATAAACAGATCATACATGAACAACACTGAAAGAGTCTCAAATATCAAAACAATGCCTCAATAAAGCATCGAAGAAATCAAAGGAAACATCCAGTTATTCTCAAACCACGTGTGACAGTCAGCCTAGTACAGAAAATAGAAATGGCACATAAATATGTGAATCTTTCTGCCAACTTGTAACCTACATCATAGCTTGCCATGTTCTCTTGGTTGAACTTGGGTAAGTGGCTCCAATTCTCTGGGAATTAGAAGGGTGGTACCCATCCCACCTATTTATAGGACTGATGTGAGGTTTAATTAGAGAATGGTTGCTATAAGTTTGAAATTTCTGAGAAAGAAATCACATAAACCCTATCTTCACTCCTAGCTTTCTCCCATGCCTTTCTCCTCCCCGTTGGAAGGGGAAAACTATGCGTAGATAAGGCCATCAGAACATTAGTTGCTACTAAATTAGGCCAGTAGTAGCTACCATGGTAAACAAACTCTGAAGGCTTAAAGGAAGCAGGGAGAGGCACAGGCTATTGGCGTAACAGCACTGTGGGGTTTCATGCCAGATTTAAATCTGATAGAGAATCTTACTGCCCCTACAGGAGGCCTGCCCCCACGTAGACAGATTCCAGTATATTTAGGGTAGCTTGCACCTAATCCCTATGTATTTTAATCCCAGTAATATGATGCTAGGGACCTGGATGATATAGCTGAAGAACGATCAGAAGCTGTAAATGGAAGCCATGATAGAAAGTGGGCTGGAAAGTTATATAAATGGTGTCTCATTCAGGGAAACACTTCTAATGCTCAATTTAGGTAATATACAAAGTTTGATTCATTCTGCAAAATGCTACTTAAGGGCTGGGAAAAACCCAAGGAGTCAGAACTCCAATAATCAAAATTTAAAAAAGCAAACTTGCTTTTCTCTTCTCTCCTCACCCCCAAAAACACAGTTCGGAAGTTTTTCTCCTCGACTGTAAATTCAGCGTACTAGCAAGGCCCTTAGCAACCCCAATTTGGTTTCGTTTTCATTCTCTGTTAAACTCATGAGCATGTATGTGGGCAGTTTACATGCAGACTACGAAGGGTTAGAAAATATTTATTTTGGGATACTGACTGTTCTTTGAAATAGAAAAAAACTATTCCCTTCCCCCTTAAAACTGTAACAAAAAGAAAACTTACTTGCTGCTTTGATGAAACTTCTTTGAAACTGGTACATCATGAGTGGTCCTGGAAGCATTCTGGAATAAAGGTTATAACCTAGTTAGCTTAATAAAAACAATCATATTCTCTCTAAATAGCAGCCTGGAGACTGCCAAACTGTATTAACATTTCTCAAAGACAAAGATCACAGGGAAGCAACAGTAACTCAGCTTAGTTCTACTTAGTTTCCCTTTAGAAAGGTCCTGAGATTTTACCTGAAATTTTCATTCTCTCTCCTTTTTAAGGTACTGTTTACAACTATTTCATAGTCACAACCAGAAAAGTACTAATTCAAAAGTCTGGCACAAAACAAGAGATTTCCTTTCAGTCAGTGACTCGGCCATCAATAAGAGCATTTTAAAATATGTTTGAGAAACAGGCAACTAGATAAACATTTGCAAATACCCGTTCTAAAACACTCATCTTCCCAGCACCTATTATTACAATCAGTGTATCTATAAATACTATGAGAGACTTTGTAGGTATTTTTGTGGCAAATTCACTGTGGAGTTCTGCTCAAGAATGCCAGAGAGCTAGAACCCCTAACATTAGGCATGAAACAATCACATCTACCTGCTGTTTTTTAAAAATACATTTTATACTTACTGTTTATTAGCAAATCTCTATCAACAGGTAACAAGAAGTGCTAAATGCAACTTCTACAATAGGGTTTTGTGTAAACTACAATGGCAGTATTGAGGGTATGAATATTTAATGAATATGTTAAATTGTAAACTTGAGGTTTTTCTGTTAGTCCAAATAATAAGCTTCTCAACAGATTATACATTATTCTAAGCTCAGATTTTATTTTATTCTCATTGAATTCGCTAATTCAACTCACTTGCATTTCATCTTATCCTTGACTTCAAGATCCTTCCATCAATTCCCCAATAGCCAATAAAACGGGCATTACCAAGTCCTTTTCTGTGGCTTTCCTCCTTTGCTTTTGAGCCAAGGGAATCTTCACAAAACCTGTACAAATGCTTACACAATCTATGATGATAGTGCTCCTCTTTGTTTAAAACTAGACACCCCACCCCACCTTCCTGTGTAAGAACTACAGTGAAGAACCTATGCCTACCCCTCAAGTCCAGCATAAATGTCAATCTATTCCTAAAATTGAGATATGGGCAGCTAGGCAATCACTCACTCCCTTAATAAGCAAGGGAGGAGTAGAGAGGTAGCAGTAATATCACATATATTATAGGAAAACAGACTCTTCCCCAGCACAGTGATATTTCCCAATCCAAGCTGAAGGAGTCAAAAGGAGCTCCATTAATTTCTCATTGTTAAGGATTAGTGTCAGCAATATATTCAACCTGCAATGCACAATTCTAACAAAATACATAGGGTATGTAATCATACATTCACAACAGAATGGGATGCGATTCCTTGCTTTCTTAATAGAGTATGCAGGGATTTCAGGAAATACCATATTTTAGGTTCTGTTAAAGGCTAATTGTCATAGTAGCTTCTCATAAAAAACAAAGCTTCCTAAATCACTCATGACACCATTGCACAATGGCAACCATCAACTATGGATGATTTACAATCGGACTGACCAGCTGAACTAACTGCACCCACACATAAGCTGTTTCCACATCTCAAACACCCACCCAACAGCTCTCTAGAGGCTGAAAATAAAGCTGCTTTCTTCCTGATTGCCTGATAACAAGCTGGCACTCTGCACTGTAAATGGAAAGTCCCTACCTTAGGTAGGTCTTCAAAGCACTGGTGATGGTCTTGATCTCCCATTCCGCACAGATATCCGTTTCTGTTTCAGAAGCTGTTTTGGGGTCTAGGATGAAGAAAAGACAATGTATGAAGCAGAGCAGAAAATACAGCTAAAAACCAAGCACACATAAAAGCATTCAGCTTCACTACTAACCAAAGAAATCCAAATTACAACAAAACGACACTTATTTTTTACCTATTAAATTAGGAAAATGTTTAAAAATCCAAAGTCTGTTGCTGACAAGAACACAGTGAAGCTGATACTCTTATAATCTGATGGAGGCAGTAGAAATGCATGCAGCAGTTTTGAAAAGCAGTTTGGCAATAGGTATCCAGAGTCATAAAAATGTTTATATCATGTCCCACAATCTATCCTCAGAAATTAAGATAAGGCATAAAAAAAGTTACATACCCACAAAACGTTTAACACATATTATTTTTTATAACAATAGAAAAAAATTTTAAAAGAGACAACCTAAATGTTCAATAATAGAAAAATGATTAGGCTAATTATGACAGAGTTACTTAATGGAATAATATTATGTTGCTTTTACATGATAATGATGGCTATCAAGCAATATGGAAAATGCCTGGATTATCAGGTAGTAAAAAAAAAAGCAAAAATAAAAAATAAACATTTATAAGTTTGTGAGAAATTTGTATGAACAAAGGTGAATGAAAATACTCTAAAATTAAAAGAGCAGTTGGGTCAGAGTAGTAGAACACTGATTTTGTATTTTCTAAACTATGACTTGATTCCACTACTTTTATTTTTTAAAAATTGTCTTAAGCCAAGAAATGCAATGAGAGCTGCTATAATTATATCAGCTCCTACTTATGTCTTTTGTTCTTCTTGTGTGGATTTTAAACAAATGAGTATATTTTAAATAAGTGTGTACTATTTTAAAACAGATAATTCTTGTAGTCTTCCTGAGCTGCACACAGACAGGTGAGAAAAAGAGGCAGAGGGTGAGGAATACGACCTGCTCCACAAACCAGTAGAACCCTATCTCACGGCTGGCAAGGGGGACGGAAGTAGAGACCTTCAGTGGCATTGGAGGGAGAATCCAGCCTTCTCATGCTAAAGCCATGATTTGCCTCCCAGCTCCCATCCCCTTTTCTTTGGACACAGCACCTGTTTTTCAGTTGGACTACTACCCTTTTCTCATAGCTACTCCAAGTGCTCAGGTGAGGCTCCACCCTTCCCGGGGTAGGGAATAGACTCAGGACAGACCAGTCAAAGTGCAGCATCTCTCTGGACCCCAGGACTGGTTCAGGGATGGCCCAAGACCTAGGCCAGTTGAATGAGAGTGAAATCACGGCCCTTCTAGGAGACAGCTAAAGGGATATCTGCTATTTCCTGCTGGGCTTGCACCTGGAAGGTTTTGCACCTCCTCCTAAGTGCAGCACATGAAGCCTGAGAGTGAGTATGGGGACAAAGCCAGAGATGGGAAAAGCAGCAAAAGTGGGTCTGATGACACGGTTTGAGCCCTTGCATCTTGTCATGCCTTTAATCATGGGAGCCAATAAATGCCCCTTTTCTTTAAGCCAGCTGAGGTCAGGTGTTCTGTTTTTTTAATAATACCAAGAGATCTAAATGATACAGCAGGACAGTCTTTAAAATGCAAGGGCCAACATTCAGCTGGAAAGGGGAATGAGTCACAAGTGGGCATTGAAAAAGAACCCACTTTCATCCTAGTAGGAGGAGGCCAAATAGTCATGAGTGGCTTAAGGATTTAGGCTCTAATCCTCAGGCAAAGCCACAAATCCAGTGGGTAGCTACTGCTCTTAGTAAGTCCCCCTAACACATACCGAAACATGAGAGAAGGAAGGGCCCCAGCTCATAAAAAGTATGGCTCCTAAAGGTAGCATAGTTATGTGTTCGCAGGTGACTCTGGGCAATAATGAAGTCTATTATGCCACATAAAACAAACAAGGAAGAACCCAAAGAGCATGCTTTTATTTCTGGGTCCCACACAGTAGCAAATTCCATAGAGTTCTACCATAGCAGATTTCTGAAAAGTGAACAAAGTGTGATTTTTTTTCCAAGTATCCAAAACCTCTGCAGCTTTAATTCTTTCCCTGCTTTGTCATCTCACATTCCCTTAATGGTTACTTTCTGCCTAAGTGTATGTACTGAAACACTTTGCTTAGCGTGACCTTTTACCCTCCCCATGACCAAGGCACATGGAGAGCTGCCACACTGCATGGTTTCTGGACGCGAGACAAATGTTACTGTACATTTTTCTGAGGAACAAACCACCTTCTACCCAAGAAGAGTGAACATGACACTAAACAAGCAGCAGTTGGCAGGTCTGGGAGTTGTGAACTGTTCCATGAACCACATTTAGCTAACTAATGATTAGCTTCCACTTATTCAGGCTCTGTAACCATAGGAATATTGTGTAACATTACAGAGGGAAGAGTCACATTACAGCCCGACTCAAGGGCTTTTTATAGCACTGATGAGGCAAGGCTCATAACTTGAGCACATCCATTTTAATTCATTTAATATCCGAACTAAATTGAAGACAGCCTCCCAAGCTACCTCATTTCAGGAAGTGCCGCTGATTTCCACACCTCCCTACCAATGCTCTACTCACTCACAGAAGCTTTCTGGTAGCATTTGAACAACATGCAGAGACATATGCAAACTTTTCTGCAGAACTCAGTATGTTTGTCCTTACCATGTCACTTGACCATTGCAGTGCTCGGTAAAAAGGACCTAAGCTACAGGAGCAGTGCAACAGCCAGAAAGTCATCGTGTGGGTAAAGCAAAATGAGTGGATTTCCTCCTCAACCTACTTCCACAGGAATTTGGAAAAACAGGAGATGTAGACTGGAAGCAGTGTTTACAAGGGGAGGTGGTCTTAGAACTGTCACACTGGATCAGTCCCAAGATCCATTGAGTCCACTGTTGCTGACAAAACACTAGGGACCTTCTGGAGAAAATGAAGAGGGAAGTCACCTATGTACTCCTATACTCCCTAATAACACATTATAATGTATGCAAATTAAAATTATTTTCTTTAATTGAGAAGGTAATAGATGCACGTGGTAAAAAAAATTCAAGTAAACAAACAGATATACATTCAAGGTAAGCCGTTCCTATGTGAGACGCACCTGCTAACACCAGTTTTGTGGGTGTGTGCTATCTCTAACAGTGTATGCACAACAAGCAAAATATGGACACATACAGCTTTTTAAAAAATATGTTCAGCGGTTGATCATCCACCCATGCACCAAGAGGTCGCCGGTTCAATTCCTGGTCAGGGCACATGCCCAGGTTGTGGGCCTGATCCCCAGTGGGAGGCATGCAGGAGGTGACAATCAATGTTCTCTCTCATCGATGTTTCTATCTCTCTCCCTCTCCCTTCTTCTTTCTCTAAAATCAAGAAAGAAAAATAATTTTTTAAATAAAAATATGTTTTTATCTATTTTAGAGAGTAAAGGAGGGAGGGGAAGGGGGGGGAGAGAGAGAGAGAGAGAGAGAGAGACCCCAAACCCGAAACCTGGGTATGTGCCCTGACTGGAATCAAACCAGTGACCTTTTAGTGCTCAGGGCAATGCTCAACCAACCGAGCCACACTGGCCAGGGCTTTACAGCTTCTAAAAAATGCAGCAGAACACTATACATGTCACTGTGCATTAAAATTTTCATTGAACAGTATCTTAAGAAATTATTCCATATCAGCACACAAATATATCTACCTCACAGTACTTTAACCATAGTTAAATGTCCCACTCATGGAAATTAAGGTTGTTCCCTGCTTTAGCTGTGATAAACAGTGATATTTTTACATGTCTTACTTATAGAAAAAATTCCCCAAAGAGGAATTTCTGGGTCAAAAAGTGTATGTATTTAAAATTTTGAAATATATTGTTCACCTGTCCCTCAGAGGTTGTACTATTATATTTGAGTATAAGGGTGACCATTTCCTCAAATCCTTGACATCATACAATCAAAACACTTTGATCTTAGCCAATATGGTAAGTTTAAAAAAAAAAAAAGGTTATCTGACTGTTTTAATTGGCATTTTTTCTTTTTTCTTAATTTTTACTTTTTTTATTGTTGAAAGTATTACAGATATCCTCCTTTTTCCCCATTAACCCCCTTCTTCCCGCTCCCACCACCCTTCTGCCTTCCCCAGCCTAATGTCTGTAGGGGTTAGTTGTGCATATATGTATATAAGTTCTTTGGTTTATCTCTTCCCATCCCTCTCATCCCTCCCATCCCCCATCCCTCTGAGGTTTGTCAGTCTGTTCCATGACTCTGGACCTCTTTTGGTCGACAGCTCATTTTGTTCATTATGTTCCACAAATAAGAGAAATCATGTGGTACTTGTCTTTCTCTGACTGGCTTATTTTGCTCAGCATAATACTCTCCAGATCCCTCCATGTCTAATTTGCATTTTTTAATGAGAAGGAAGGTTGAGAATCATCTCCTATGTTTAAAGTTGTCTACTGAGGCATATTCACCCTTTCCAAGTGTACAGTTCCACAATTTTTGACAAATGTAAATAATCATGTAACCATCACCACACTCTATAAGTAATTGTCATCACCCCCCAAAATCAGCCTGTGCCCCTTTTATAGTCAATGCCCTCCCTCCAACTCTAGCCCCTGGCAACTACTTTATATAGTACTTCTGAAATCCATTCAAGTTGTTGAGTGTACCAGTAGTTTATCTTTTTACTATTGATTAGTATCCAATTTTATGGATGAGCCACACTTTATCTATTCAATAGTTGATGGGCATTTATGTTATTTCCAATTATTGGCTGTAATGAATAAAGACACTATAAATACTTGAATACATTTTCATCTCTTGGGTAAAATACTTAGCAGTGTAACTGGGTAAAAATATGTAAAAGTGTCATTAAAATAAGTTATGTTTAACTTTAACAGAGACTGCCAAATTGTTTTCCAAGAGTTGGGCCATTTGCGTTCCCACCAGCAGTGTGAGAGTTGCTTCACGTCTTCATCAACACATCATATGGTCATGTGTTTAATTTTGAAATTTTAGTTATTCTAGTAGGTAACATTTTTAAAATTTGCTTTTTC